TCTTGGAACCAAGAGACGTGAAACATGCAAACGATTTTACAATCGCCCCCCCCCACGTTACGGAAGGGACGAGTTCTTGAAAAAGCTTCCGTAGCGCGAAATTCCGTAACTCGAACCTTATTCTCCCAATGACTCTTATGTTATAAGTGTAGATGCGTTCTTGCGGAGATCTTCTTTGATCTACAAAAGTAATAAAACATGCATGTGAATGTAAGAAAACATTTTGAAACACATATTAAATGTAACAGATAGTTTAATAGTTTTACTCACCAAAAATAATAGTACGTACACAAAAATAATTAAATTGTGCAGAGGGAGACTCAGTACTGGTACTGACGACTGCCTCACTCTGTAAATCATGATCATCTTGTTGTGGTGTAAGCTCAGCTCTGTTGAAGAAGAATGCATCGAGACTTGTTTGCTGTTTCTGCTACATCTTCTCATTGTAGCAGTGCATTACATCTTGTAGTGCTCTTGTAATTTTTAGACTTGGATCATTAGCACTAAGGATTTGCACCACTTCTTCTACGAGGGCAAAGGATTGGGATAAGTGGTTGGTAGACAAGTGAAGTTGCGTGGGTGGTGTTTCAATAACGTCCTCCTATACTGTAGCTCGCTCTTGTTCCAACATTATTAGATCCTCATTCTACATGGGACTTTAATAACTCAACCATATCATTTTCGACGAAATCTTCAAAACCAGCCTGTCTTGCAAGTGCCACAATGTCTTGGTGAACTTTCCCAGCACTTTCTGCTTGGGGAAACCCTGTAAAGTTGTTGGTACGTTCTACCCATATGATTATGGATGCAATAGTGATGAAGTGAAGGAGTCAACTATAAATGGTGTGTGGAAAATTACTAGTGTACACTTTCGAAACTCCAAGGAGATATACCAGTGATTTGGCGCTCAAATAAAAAGGCTTGGATGACTATAAGTATTTTTCAAGACTGGTTCATCAACTTCTTCTGTCCTGCTGTTGAAAAGTACTGTGCCAAACGTAATATTGCCAACAAAGTATTGCTCATCTTAGACAATGCACCAAGCCACCCAGTGAACTTAAATTATCGTTCTGATAATGTAAGAGTTGAGTATAACCCCAAGAACACAACCGTATTGCTCCAGCCAATGGATCAAGGTATTATCTCCAATTTATAGGGATATTACTTATGGAGAACTCTGATTAACACTGAACAACTGATTAAAGTTACTGATGGAGAGATAAGCCTACAGTTCGTGATTTCTGGAAGAAATGTAATGGCTTTAATTTAAAATCTCCAGCAGCATTGCCACACTCAAGTAGAGTCAGATGTTCTTTCGGAGCCTTGAATCCTGATGAAGACTTCTCTTCCCTAAAAATAAATCACTGGTAAATTAGGCTTAGCATATCTCCTTAGAGCCCTTGGAGTTTCGAAACTGCACACAAGTAAGGGTTTTAATTCAAAATCTCCAGAAGCATTGCCACCCACAAATAGAGTCAGACGATCTTTCGGAGCCTTGAACCCTAATGCAGACTTCTCTTCCCTAAAAATAAATATTCTATCTGGCATGCATTTCCAGAACAGCTCCACATTGAAGACTACATCAGCAGTGACAGCCTCACCACTTGGTTTTATGTTGTGTAAGTTAAATCGCTTCCTGAACCTATCAAACCACCCTTTATTTGCCAGGAAGGGTTTTTCTTCAGAACTACCACTACCACTTTGTTCAGTCACCAAATTATCATACAAGCTTTTTTGCTTTAACTTGTACAACCATCGTGTTTAATGGCACATTACGTTGGATCTGGTCCTCAATCTACACACTCAGGAGTTGTCCATATTAAGCATCACTTCACTTCTATGAAAACACGATGTACGAGCACTTAGAGGTGTAGCTACTTTAGGACTTGCCTTGATTTTTTCTTTATTATCACGTATTGGTCCCATTGTAGAGGTAGCAAGCCCTAAAGTTTTAGCAATAGAGCTATGTTTCTCTCTGGCATCAAACCTCCTAAAAACATTAAGTTTCACATCCAGAGTATTTCCTTTTCGTGATTTCTTGGATGTACTACTTGTACTTGATCGCAACAGAATCGTTTGCTGATATGAACAAAGTGCGCCACCTATGTCACTGACGCTTGGTAATGTGCTCTGCATTTCTAAAACAAAAATAAGATTTTTGGCCAAATGTTTTTTTTTATATATTAACCACAAAACCCCGAAAGGGCGAATTTACGGTCCGTATCCCGAATCTATTGGTCACGCTTTATAATTTCCGTATGGGTAAAATTCCATAGCCCGAACGCCCGTAACGCGAGGACAGACTGTATTTAGGTGAAACTGAACACAAGGATCAAAGAACACGTTAAAAGGCTGTCGTATGTTTTTATACACTTAAAAGAAACCAAGCATTCCATATCCAAAAAAAGAGAAAAAAATTTACGAAGCAAAACTTACATAAATAAAAGAAAATCACAAGCTATATGGTTTCGATATCGGCGCTGAGCAGAGCTCAAATAGTCCATTATATAGCTTTGCACTTAACAACAAAAAATCAGTAAGCACCCTGCCAAGAAACATTTTTACACTTTGAATTTGTAGTTGTTGTTAATCGCACATTGTCTGAAAATGGCTCGGTGTTATGTGCTGAAACATCGTAGTTTTATTTTTTTAAAAAACAAATATTTCCACTGTTAAGGTAATTATCGTATTAAATTTACTCATCCAGCGAGGTCCTCCAATCAAAATATTTATATCGCTTTCTTTGTTTTATTTATTAACACATGCCCCCCAGTGGCAAAGCGGTATGTCTGCGGACTTACAATGCTAGAATCCGGGTTTCGATACCCATGGTGGGCAGACCACATATAGCCCATTGTGTAGCTTTGTGCTTAATTACAAACAAAAACAAAAAGTTATTAACACAGTAGCACTACTTTACATATAATGACAAGCTTTATTTTCCAGTTAGTAGTCATTAAAGTCAAAAACTACTGCATCATGTAAACATAAATAGATGTAGTTTCCTGTTTGTACGACAGGTAGATTTGTAATGTATTATTTATCATTCATCCTATTTGTACACATCGAACCTACAACGTAACCACCTTAGTATGTGCTTCTTTTCTTTCTTTACAAGATTGTAAGATTTTATGTTTGTTTGTTACGGATTTCGCGCAAAGCTACACGAGGGCTATCTGCGCTAGCTGTCCCTAATTTAGTAGTGTAGGACTAGAGGGAAGGCAGCTAGTCATCACCACCCACCGCCACCTCTTGGGCTACTCTTTTACCAACGAATAGTGGAATTGATCGTCGCATTATAACGCCCCCCACAGCTGAAAGGGCGAGCATGTTCGGTGTGACCGGGATTCGAACCCGCAGATTGCGAGCCGAGTGCCCTAACTACCTGGCCATGCCGGGCCCATGATGACAAGCTTCTGTAATAGTCACACTATTGGTAAGGGACTCGTCTACACTGCAGGATAGACAGTCTAGATGTACTTAGGACATCAATGTGAAAGCCCAAATGTGAACAGAGTCACCTGCTAAAGACATCAGACTTTACGATTTATTTTTATTGTAATGAACATCAAAATATATCCCTATTTCCAATTTCATTCAGTCTACAAATATACTTTAAATAGTAGAACTATCCATTGCATAACTAAAATCTTAAGATATAAAACAAGGTTAAAATTATCGACGGATTTTACAAAATTAGTTTTTGTTGTTAACCACAAATCCAGGCCCTCTATTAGATTCAGAGAGAACAAAATGAGACAATCATTAGCCCAAAATAAAAGTTAAATATTTTCTGAATATTTTTTATTTAACATGTATTTATTTACATTATTTAAATGGGAAAAATACAAGTGTCTAAATTTGAGGATAAACAGATGTTTAGCGTTCTAAACCTTCAGATTTACAGTTGTGCCAGAGAGAGGATGCAAAATTAGCATGAAATAGTATATTCGCAATAGTTCTTTCGTCGATGTGTTTGTCTACCAGACTATATGATGTTTAAATATAGAAAGCCACCTGTTTGAATCTAGATACACCTGATAGGCCTAGATACCTCGAAAGCCATCTGTACACCACGCTAGGAACGCTGGACACCTGACAAATTTATTTTGGATTTGACACTTGTTTTGTATATTTGTAGGATGCAAACGAACGTTTGATATATATATATATAACAGAAAAATAATAATTCCCAAATTGATTTAATTGTTTCTAATGTATACTTTCAACTTCAAGTAAGCCACACACAAACATAGCTTAAACTCTAGGTGAACGTCGCAGTTAAAACAAAATTGCATACACATTTACAAGTATTCTCATTACGAGCCAGTCATCTCACTAAGATCAAATCCTAAATTAATTGAAGCATAAAAATGTCCGAACGTGTGAAACGCCTTCTTCTAACATCAAGTTGTCAATACTTAGGATCCCATACAGCTGTTACTCTATTGAAAGCTGGATTTGAAGTAGTGGCTATCGACAATCCCAGCTTCAAAAGTAAGTATATTTGCTAACATCTGACTTGTGATCCTCGGAATTTTGTAAATTTATCGTTGGCTGTAGTTATAGCTTATATCAGTTACATATTTTTACCTGAACCTAAAACTAATTTGAGCTTATACGTATATCTCAGCTATTATAGAATTTTTCGCAAGCAATTTTAACACAACGAGCTTCATGCTATTTCACGTACTTCTTAAAAGCACGTTAACGTATATATATATATATATATTTATTTATTTACAGAAATTTATCATAATACTGATTGTGAGAAGTTTCAGATCATAATCTAATTATTCTCGGCAATAAACCGTACCCAAACCAACGTATTAAAGTAATAAAAAATATTTGCAAAAATTAAGTATGACATAGGGATGGCAATGTCAAAAAGTACAGAAACAAGGTAGGGATGAGCGCACAAAACCAGATAATAATCCCTACATGAGTAGCTAATAAGCACTGAGTCAATCTTATCAGCTTATAAGACAATCATTTGCCCAAAAGAAATCTGCCATAATTTAACACTATAAGGCTATATAGCATTATATTCAGTTTAAATGCTCTTATTCAAACCTGAATTCATGAAACTGATAGGAATTCAGAATTTATTTGTAGATAAAAGTCATTCTTAGAAAGATTTGGCTACTTATATAGTGATTTTTGTATGGTTTTGTGTATTCATCCCTACCTTTTTTTTGTACTTTTTGACATTGTCATCCATACGCCATACTTAATTTTTGCAAAATCTTTTATTACTTGTTCCCCTCTTTTTTTTAAACAATTTCAGTGAAGTAGGTTGATAAGTGAACATTTGTTCTATTTTTATAATTCAATGGTAATATATATTGTTAATATAATACTTTGCACTTGTAGAATGACCTCAGATATTGATATTATACCATACAATTCGCTACAATAGATTATTAATCATCACTGTTCATAATTTTGACTTTTTTTGGGACTTAATGTTGAGGAACCTACAGTAAGGAACATACAAAAAATGTATAGGTGTATCATCCCTATATTCATGTTTGCATTCGTTTTGGCACTGTCATCCCTACATTTTACATTTACAAAATGTTTCTTATTACTTGTTTCGTGACATTTTTTTTCACCTTACTGAAACTTAGTGTATTCTATGAATGTGTGTAATAAAATTTGATATTATGTGTATTGATTTATTTTACTCCTTCACTTCATACATAATATGGGAGTTGGCTCCCTAAAGACACCGATTGTATGTTGTACAAAGCATTGAGTATTCTACATGTCATCTAATGTTCATCTATTATTTGCTGATAATTCCCGTTTCACCCTTTATTTACCAGATTTGTGTAAGAAAGCTAAATTCAAAGGATAATTATAACATCGTTTACACAAATATATAAACTTAGTATTCCGAAAATTGTTTAATCTCGAAGTCTAAGTTCAAGGGAGGTCCAGTTGAATCTACACTTTGATCAACATGTGTTATTGGGCTATACTAGTTTCGGAGAATTCCACTCCTCATCAGTTACTCTGAACACAAGTTAACCAAGGAAAGATAACCTGGATCTATGATCGTTTACACTAGAATTATGATTAGTTTTAGCTTAGACTAAGCACTAACGTACTTAGTTATAACCTGTTTCCACGTATTCTTAAAATGCGTTTCTGTCTTATTAAAACCATTGCGAAAACTTCACTCATTTTTGATGAACACTTTGGTTCTTTAGCTAGTTCCCAGTTCTTCACTTTAGCAACACTTTTCAATGATACTGGGAGTCTCAAAAGCTGTGAAACACACGATAATGGCAATTAAGTGCTCAAATAAGGCTATAACTCAACTTTAGAAGTTAGTTGTAAGTATCATAGATTGAATACGGCAGCCATTTTTTTCTCGGCCCATCCCTACGAACGGTAGTTCTTTAGGTAGTTTATAACCAGCAGAGAAAATATATGCTAGATTATTTGGAATATCTTTGAAAAACATCTTTTAAAGCTTAGATTAAAAGATTTGACAGGATCGAGTCTGTAGGCTTAATATTATCCTAAAATATTCATTAAATAATTATATATATAATATAAAAATCGTGGACATTCCGTCATATATGAGAAACATAACTGCACAATTTCAAGTTTATGAAAAATTTTTCGTCACTACTGTTACATACTTTCCCACAGGATATGCAAACTTAAATCACTATTACCCTCTACCAGTAGGTTTAGGCCCTACCCAATATTTTGTGCAAACTTCAGTCTCAAAAAACTTATCAAATCAGGCTTATCCAGTTGTTTCTGCAAGCTTAAATTTCTCCCAAGTTATAAACTTATATCCACTGAAACATTGTTTGTTTGTTTTTTAATTTCGCGCAAAGCTACACGAGGGCTATCTGCGCTAGCCGTCCCTAATTTAGCAGTGTAAGACTAGAGGGAAGGCAGCTAGTCATCACCACCCACCGCCAACTCTTGGGCTACTCTTTTACCAACGAATAGTGGGGTTGACCGTCACATTATAACGCCCCCACGGCTGAAAGGGCGAGCATGTTTGGTGTGACGGGGATTCGAACCCGCGACCCTCAGATTGCGAGTCGATTGCCATGCCGGGCCCTACTGAAATAACTATGCAAAACATTTTTATTGCCTTATAAAATTGGGTTTATTGCCAATTGCCTATTGAAACGTAAATTTCAACCCCCTTATAAAATTATGTTTAATTAATACTAATAGTCTGTGTAAATGTAGTTATTGTAAAATTAGGTTTACCCAGGGGCAGTACTAGCTCATTGCGGGCTCTAAGCAGGAATATCTTTGGACTCCAACAATCACCTCCTTAAAAACTAATTGCAATATTTTCACAAACCAAAAAAACTACATTAATACAAAAATTATTAATACACTTCTTAAAACATCGGTTCTACTTATACACTAACGCCACTGCGCCGGAGTCTTTCTCAAAACATGCACGTTGTATGTGTACTGTACTTAGCAGCCAATCAGCGTACCGCATGAATGCCTCACTGAAAAGTGTCTCGCTACTGCAATTTTGAAGCGTTTATCCATTGCTGAGTGATATGTTTTTGAATAGTTCCATTAAAAATACTTTTATTTTAAATAAGTACAGTAATAAAACAGGCAAAAGTCAAATCTCTGATAAAAAGAAAATCCCCGTGAATCAGACCCCTGAGCTGCTCGGAGTCCTAAGCAATTAGTAGTCTGTTTAGGCCTAGTAACGCCACTGGATTTAGCCAAATACGCTAACGCTGCTAGAATACTAGAACAATCTAGACTAAAGTAGGTCTGACCCTCTGATCTCACGAGGCTTTAAAGTTGTCTACATTTTTTACCAATTTAATCTCACCACAAAACTTTCTTGATGCACAATAGTTATCTTGGTTGCATTAGTGCGGTATCTTATCATTATTCTTAATTCGTAACTTTCGAAAACGTTTCCGGCCGTATAATAATCACGGGCGTTACTATTTATTTTATTGTATTAAGTCCACAGGTCCTCACAGCAGCTAATAACCGTAGTTGCGCCATTGACAATAACGCAGTGTGAACTATTTTAGGTTGCAAATATTTGAAATATTTTTAGTTGCGGCAAAGCGGCTCATAGAATGGCTCCGAGTTTTTCCCAAGTACAAACTTTTACCTCAGAACTCCGTCATCTCTCGGCCGATTTGAGATCTAATTTCAGTTTTGGACTCAGGAGGTCAAACCCTTTCGATTGATGTATTTGATCAAGCTAATGGTCTCATAGATTAATTTACTCTAATCATACCTAAAAGAACTTCAAGTGCCGCGGCTATTGAGGATTTCCTCTTGTTTCTTGTTGTTCAGGTACAGAGTTGCCGGAATGTTTGAAACGAGTAGAAGAAATTACCAAAAAAAAGTTCACCGAATTTTATGCCGTAAATCTCTTCGAAATAGACGAACTCAGAGCAATATTCCGAAAAGTAAGCTTACTGTTTTTTCTCTTAAATTTTATTATTTACTAATTAATAAAGTTGGTAACCTTTAGTCGCTTTTAGGAAGAATGTTCAATACATGCAAATAATCGTCAGCTCGCACTAGCATTATTAATTTTTTTAAATGACGATTATTTGCATGTATTGAACATTCTTCTTCCAAGACATGCTAGTACTGATGAATATTATCATTAGCATAGCTGCATCTTCTGATGTCAAAAGTGAATGTAGAAAAAAAAGTCACAATTTGAAAATTTATGTTTATCATTTTTTTAAGTTCATAGAAGTTAAACTATTGATTTATTCCATTTATTCATGTGATGATTTACCTCATATATATATGCCTAAAAAGTGCACTTAACTCTGCATTATATATGAATACACTCGTGAAGTTGACAGACTGTCTGTAGAATGCTCTTTGATCAAAAAACATGACATTATGAATCTTAACGAAGAAATGCTTAGATTGAATGATGTGTTAGTAAATAAGTATATAATGTAAGAGAAGCCATCCAGGATCGTAATCCGGACTGATCTCAGGTCAGATGTACAGCCGTGTTCTTCAGGTATTGGTAAGCCAGGCGAGTAGCCTTGTTCCTCGTTTACTTTTATGTATATATTTCCTTGTACAAGAGTTACGTAAGTTGTGTTATTAATGTGTGTATGTCATGTACTTTTTTATATAATATTACATATCATGCATCATGCTATTATTGCAATAAATAAATAACTTTAATGTTTTTTGTTGTATGACTTTACATTGTATTTTGGTAGTAAAAAATCTGTGACTTTTTTTCTTCCTGTGACTGTATTTCCGGCCACCGTCAAAAATATGTACGTATACATGTAAATTTCGAGGTCGGAAACAAATATAGGTTCACTGTGGTGAGTAAAAACAATTCAAAACACCATAAAGACGTAAAATGGTTGCGGAGGAGATATCGTTTATGTTAATTGAGCACTAATTTATTGCTAAGTGAACTCGTGCAACCTTCATTACTGTATCGCTATTAAAATACAAAGTTATTGCACAGTTGAGTATATTAACAATTATAAAGTAATGTAAAATTTATAACACACACACACACAAATCAACAATAATCAAATGTTAGAATAAGTTAACTTTAAACAATGTAAACTAATAAATTATCGTGCAAAATAATTTGACCTTACTAATAACTTCTTGATTTTCTAATAGCATAAGTTTGATGTGGTGGTTCACTTTTCACAATTGAGGGGAGTCCGTGAATCCCTTCTCATGCCTCTGAAGTATTACTCTACAAACGTTGCTAGTCTACTGTCTTTACTCCAGGTAAGCTGGATTATGATATCAGTATCGTGTTTATCTGTGTTAACTACGAGTAAGTTTAATTTCAGAGGCGGATACAGGATTTTGAAAACAAAAAACAAAAAAACTAGTGTGTTGTGGTATATGAAAGGTTTTTAATACTGTTGCGTCAGCGAGGTCACGTGACTAGTGTCACGCCACCTGCTTTCTAGAACTATCCCGTTTCTTCGGGAGTGCTCTAGCATTTACTAAATTGGGGGTGGTCTGATATATATAAGATGGTCACGGCGTGACGTGACAATGTGTGCGTAGACAGTGAGTAATTGATCTGCAGTCAGAGAGTATTATTGAAGTTGAGCACGTTCGTTGTTATAGCGTTTGTTTTAGCGCGATTGTTGAAATTAAGTGTATCGTAAAGTTATATTTGGAAAGAATAAACCAGTTTTAGAACAGGCCTAATTAAGTAAGGACTTGTGTCGCTAAAGTGTCGGAACGAATTTACGGGAAATCAATTAACAAACGGAGACGTAACAATACTAAGT